AACACCAAGGACGATCGATGATTTTGCACAATGTAAGCGGCAAATCCATATGCCTCCGTGGAAGCGTCGCAAAAGAGATACATATCTCCAGGCTGTCTCGCATCGAGAACCTTTCGATAAAAATGGAAGTCACTCAGTCCAGACAGGTCCCCAGCAAGCTCCCCTCCAATCACTTAAAACCGCAGTAGGGGAGAGGATCATCCCAACCCAAACCATTCTTCCACATAGACCTAATAAGTATTCGGCTGCGAACCGTAACTGGGAGACAAAGAGATAAGGGTCAAAAATTTTGGCTGACTCAGAAAGCACTCCCCTCTTTGTTGACGCATCGGGATCGCACCTGACGTGGCCCACGTGCATCTCTTCTGAAAGAGGGTTGTATCGGTAACCCAGTACCTTCTCCCATTCTTCATCATGTGCACTCAGTGTACCATCTTCTTTCATCCTGGCTCGGAGAGCCTCATCGTTGGAGTTGCAGGACTGAATAACAAAGCCGCCTTCCTGCAAACGTTCCCGTGCCAGGGAGTACAATTTCGCCAGCTTCACTGGATCTGCTTCCGATGTTACAAGGTTGTCCACATAAAATCTGTCCTCAATCATCCTGCGGCAAGCGTCCAGTGGGTATCTTGCTGCATGTAGTTTCAGGATACACCCCAGTACAAAGGGGCTTGAGGTGAACCCGAATATCAAGGTGGTATATCGAAAACAGCGAAGACGATCCCCATCCTTAAGGAAGAAACAAAACCATTTTTTCAGCCTCCAACTTGAGATGAATCATCAAGAATGCCTTTCGAATGTCTGCTAGCAGAACGTAATTGTTAGTTCTGAAAGACAATAATAACTTCAACATATCTCCAGTTAGATTGACCCCAGAGTAAGCTGCCTCGTTCAGGGACAATCCACCACCAGTCTTCAGACTGCAATTGAACACAGGTCTGATTTTTGGTAGTAGCTGTTGGGTCAGACCTGAAAACCGGTCGATGTGGAATCCACACATATTTATCAAATTCGTGTTGGGGAACAAAAATCTCTTCAATTATTCCATCCTGTTCTTGCTGACGGAACACCTCTAAGTATTCCAGATAAATATTCTTTTTTAGTCAGGTTTGAAGCCACCCGGTCCAAGATGCGCAAAGAAACGGCGTGATTGGATGGGACCCGGGCCAACTTATCAGAATGCCAGGGAAGCTCCACGTAATACTTCCCATCCTTGAGCTCCACAGTATCCTTAAAACGTCTCATCTGTTCTTGATCATAATCAAAGAAGGTATCCTCATCAGATATTCCCAGGGACTCCATGTCAAACATCCGTTCCAATCCTCTTTGTACTGCACTGTCAGGAAAAAACTCCGCCAAAGGGTCAAGGTAGGTTGGTTGGTTTTCAAGAACGAAGCACAAATGTGAGGAATTCACTTCGGGGGTATCCCCCATTACAGTATTAAAGGAGAGGTGGGCCACTTCACAAGGGATCTTGTCTCCTGACAAAAAGGAGTCCACAGCTCCAAAGGGAACCAGGCCTGACGGAACAGAAAATGCCCAACCCCTCAGACAGGGGACCAACTTCAATGTAATCAATCGATGAATAAGGTCCAATCCAATAATGCCCTTGATAAGCACAAGGTCTGACCCGGCCTCAAATTGGCCAGCCAAATTATAGTCAGCTGCCCTAAAGGCACCCAACAGGGTCTCCAAGTGAGCCAGTCGTACAGACAAGTCCATTGCATCAGTGACCAAAACAGAGGAAGCCAAAGCCTCACCAGAACCAAGGTCAACTCCCAGAACCACCTCCGTGAAATTCCGGTCACACTCACCAAGGAGGGTGAAAAGTCTAAGCCGACTACTGACTCCAACAGTCTCAACTGAACCCAAGTCCCTCAGTACATCAGCAGACAAGTACGAACGCCCACTACCAGTGTCCAAAAGGCAATTAACTGACACCATTTTTTCTCCATTGAAAAAAGTGACCAATAAGATGGGGGGCAAGCTACGGGAATAACCAGCAGAAGTCAGGTTGTTGGAATCCACATGAAAGGAAGAAGTAACAGTGGCCCTCCGTGCGGTTTTTTGAGAAGAACCCTGGCCAGTGGTGAATGTAGAAGCAGCAGACGCGCTTCCCTTAACCCGTAATCGTTTGACTGCCTCACTTGTAAGTTCCAATATGGCAGACAATGATGGTATTCGTTTATCTGTTAGTCCTATCATTTCCCCCTTCAATTCTTTGGGAAATTTCTGAAAAAGAATCTTGGCCATTAGGCGAGCTCCACCAGAATCGTCCACCGAAAAGTCGCAAGAAAAAGAATTCCCTAGCTCCTCCAAGAGAGAGGCAGTCCTGGAGATAAATTCACCCAGATCAGAGCAGCAGATGTCCTTTTTAGGGACATGTCTAGAATGTCTTGAAATATCTGGTCGATTATCTCATCAATGTCCAAATACTCCCTCTCTAACACCGAAAGAGCACGCCGATAGTTGGCATCCGTGCAACTCAAATGGTTAATCAGTCTTAAAGCTCTGTCGGAGAGGGAGCATTTCAGAAAGTTTAATCTTTCAGAGTCATTGGCCATGCCAACCACACAGTTTTCGAATCTCGTCAAAAAATTCCGGAAACTCATGTGGTCGTCAGCCATCTCAAGTCCGCTAAAGGTGGGCCCCGTTATTTGTATTTGCGGAGGTTTGACAACAAAGGAAGCCGAACTTCTTCCAGGTGTTGACGGAACCCCAAAAGACTGGGAAACAGGATTCAAGCAGGAACTGGGAGAAAATGAACCATCCAGATCGCCCAGTTCTCGGTGGTACTCCATTAGTCGAGGCGCCCATTCAGCTTCGGTCTCAAGCAAGTTCGTCTCGGGAAGGAGCCCAGCTCTAATTTTGTGATACAAGTCTCCATTTCGAAGATGTATTGCAGAATATCCTTTCGGAAGACAGAGAAAACATGAGGCGTTACTCTGTCTCCACGACACAACTTCAGTCGTTCCTCGACTTTGATTTTAAGAACAGTCAACCTATGAAGGATCTGTTCTTTAGTAACATCCATTTTTTTTTCTTTTTAAAGAAATGCCGTTAACAAAAAAAAAAAGAAAAAACAAATTTCTGTAGAAGGTCCTTTTGCAATTTGTCGAGAAAAAAAACTTTCGACACAGTAAAGTAGGGAAAACCCAGAAGAGAGCAGCGACAGCCCGGTAAGGGTTGCAAAAGGAATCCTCCTCTTGCGACCTGCTCCAACTAGGTCGAGTAACAGAGAAGAAGAAAGAATCCTTCAGCACGACAAATAACCAGTCACGTGTCGGCTGATAGAGAAAATAGGTCTAATCAGACTACAGAGGAGGGTTTTTATAAGGAGGCTAACTGCTTCCCACAATCCTCCTCCGACCAAGACCATAAATATCAGTTGGTCATTTGGTTCCAGTTTAGCTGGACACAATTCCCCCGAGGCTGAAGCAACCCCTTCTCTCTTCCTCTTTCTTCACACAATAAAGATTACAAATTTCTACCTGTTACATATACACAGTCACCAAAACCAGCTTTAAATATAACAAATAAACCCCCATATTTTTTTTTAAATTTAAAAATAAATATAAATAATAATTTTTACCTATCATAATTTTACACAAACCCCACCACACGCATATACATACATGCGAGGAAATATTTTTCAGCGAAAAAATACATATGACATGTGTACATTCACGAGACATTTCCGCCACATTTCCAATGTTTAAATTTCAACATTTCAACATACAAATGCGTATGTATAGACATAACACCACCCGTGTGTCATAGCAGAAACTGCCCACATATGTTTATGAGTCCCGACGGACGACCAAGTATGTATATGTCTGCATATATTGATGTTTGCGTTAGTACGATGAATGACAAAACGACGAAATTTCCCCCACCACTTCCATAATAACACCAATACACGCAATCTACATAAACCCAAATTTTTAAAACATTAATCAGTTTGTCTGACGATCGCTAAAGCGTGAAACCCAGGGTCACAAACTCGCATCTATCCAATATATATATATATATATATATTTTTATATATATATATATATATATATATATAATTTTATTTTTATTTTACACGTTAATGAATAGATAATTTTATTTTTATACTGGCTGAACAGAAGATAATGAAATGTAAACCGACTTTTCATCTAGTAGTGCGATACTAAATATTTGTGGAAAACCTGATTTTTTTTCATGACTCGTGTATAATGCGATCCCAGCTTCTGGGCAATACTAGTAGGCCTACCGTAGTCAAATATTGCTGTAACAGACATTTTGTAGCAAAAATGGTTTTCATTTTTCGATTTCATTCTTTTTTGTACAAAGCTACCCCAAAATGATGAGAAAAAACACTTACTGTAAGTGTAAAATATCTGATAGGAATATTTAGAGATAGCGTACTACTTCTATTTTCGTTCATGCCTGATTTTTGACCTCTTCAAATTTTCCCTGCGTGTACTGTAGTGCAACCCCCTATTTTTTGCAAAAAGACTGATCATAAAAACTCACACTATATACTCGAGTATATTCGGTAACTGCAAAAAATTTGGGCGTCAAACTCACTCCTTAAAAGAAACTGTTTCTCCAATTTTTTTTCAATAAAATGAACTATTCAGTAATAAAATATTTATTCACTAGTGAATTGAAGTACTACTGAAAATTTCGTTTGAATCGGATAATTTCCCTGACTTGCTAAATATTTTAAAACAGGGGAGGAGTGTTTTTATTTTGTTTTTTGGTTTTTTCTTTCATTGCAGAAAGAAATATAGAAGAAACCCTGTTATAGATGCTACTAAAAAAATGGTGTAATAAAATAAAATGTTTTCTTTTGTTTAGTCTTTCAGCAGAGGTTGATCTTTTTTTGAATTCGCTTATTTTACATAAAAAAATAATTGTTGAGAGGGTTGTATTTCCGACGAAAACTCAATGTTTGTATTAAAAAAAAGAAAAATTTGTCCCGAAAAAAAGAAAACGAAATGATAAATCCTTACCGTCATTGAAGAAGAGCTGTATCCGACATAGAATTTTATTCCAAACGGAGGGTTGTAAGAAAACTCTATACCAAATCTTGTATTATTTTGGGCCGCCATCTTAGATCAAATAAATCTATTTTTTACGGAATCTGGCAAAACTTTTGATAATTTGTTTAAAAAAAAGAGCAGGAAATTCTTCATCCTAAATTGAGAAATCGATCACGCACAAAAGTGTCCAACTGTTATTTATTTCAGAGGCTTATACAATTTATAAATTATTTCTATCGAAAATGAAAGTAAATTCACTTCCTTTTCCTTTTTAAGCCATTTATTTTCAATTTTCATTTATTGAAATACAAACAAAGAAATTCTTTGCAAATGAAATTGTAATCAATTCTGTTCGTTTATTTGGCTCAAATTATTTAATAACTCCATCTCGATCTATGATAGTGGAAAGTTTGGTGGTTACCATAATGCCATTATGGTAACCACAAATGGTAACTATGGATTGATTTGGCTGTCGACACCATTATGATAATGGTGTCGACAGCCAAATCAATCCATACAATTTTTTACTCAACGAATATGTTAAGTAAAACTGCAAAAACAAGAAACATTTGTGATAAAAGACAAATATTTGAATAACAAGCAATTTTCAATGCATTTTTGTAATGAAAATATTTTACAAAAATATAGTGGATTTTTTTTTTTAGGTGAAATGAAATCTTGTTAGTTTAATTGAACTCAAGATTGGTGAAAGATTAAATTTTGTTAATGAGTTCTGATTTAAAAGGATGTTTGTTAGAATCTGCTACGGAAGATTCTGTAAATTAATTGCAGGAGAAAAATTTACATTTTTAAGAATTTACTGTTCATGTTATAGTTAGTAGTAAGTAAATGTTTGTAAAATTGAATGCAATTTTGTGATCAAAGTTATCTACCTTTGATTGTTTTGTGTAATACAATGTTCTCGAATGTTGAGAAATAAAATCGATTTGTTTGCAGGAATTTAACTTATACGTAAGGAATTTGGTGAGAGAGTGTGAATATCGTTAAGTTTGTATAATGTTCGTATGAACGTAAAACTTAAGATTGTCTAAGTTTAGTTGCAATTCGTTTGATGTTGGTGATTCTGTTTTTATTTGCTTCGAGTGACTCAGAGATTTGGCAGAAACTTGGATTTCAGTCGCGAGCTGTAAAAATTAGTTAAGCGTGGGTGGATAGTCACGCCTACTTGTATATTTATTATTAACTAATGAGGACTCGAGATTTTGAAAATGTATGAAGTTGAAAGTTTTGTGATCCACTTTTTTTTTGCACAGATTTGACCAAACTAATTTTGGGTATTGGAATAATGTAGAATTTGGGTTCTACACTACGCCCCAACTCTACTCCATCTCAATTTTCATAAGGAAGTATTCATGTGAAATACAATTTTTACTATAACCTAATAATTTCCCCTGCAATGTATAATAATTGATCATATACAATATAAGTGAACTGTAGCGACGGTGTTACCAATATTTAACTTTGGCTAGGAAAGGTGGGATTAAGGACAATGCGTGGACGCAATGCAATTTATATTTGACGTAAATAGCACATAGTATAAAATAGAAAACTGAACGGAATGATTTCAAAACACAATTGAATACATGCATGTGAACTGAAAGTTAGATAGAGTTGTCTCTTAGATTAGGTAAATATTTGTATTCGAGCTCAAAGTGAAAGTAATTATTAAACTGTAGTTTAGAAGAATAAAGTTTCTTTAGCATGTTTGAAATTGTGTATTGTAAAGTTGGTAAAATTTCAGAAGAGATTTCAGAGTTCGTACTAGCGTGAATATTGGTAATAGTCTGTAACGTCTGACTGCATTAGACAGGAGTTCTTGAAGATTACATTTTGGTAGCAAGGAATGAGGAGAGAGATAAGAAAAGAAACTCGAGGGAGTTTAAACGTGTTCTGTTTATATATCATCGTGAATCACGTGACTGGCTCAGATGGAAAACGCGGTAAAACAGATTTGTCATGTGCAGGCGGTTTGATTGGTCGGAACTGACCAATCAGCAAACTAGATTGACCAATGAATGCTTGTTATATATTTTGTAAGATTGTGATGATGGAAATTATAACAGGAATAGTGCATTTCCTAGCAGGGGTTAACTAGCTTGTTGTGGAAGAGTTCACAGAAAAATTCAACTAGAAAAATTGAAAATAAATACATTTATACAATGTATCTAAATACACATTTAGACACATCATTCCATTTTAAATAAATCAACAATGCTTCATGGTATTTTTAGCATCAACTTGATATTTTTCTTGTTCAAATGTTGAATAATTTTAACATTCAACATGTCATTATGGATTAAAAATAGTGAATTTTATATAGTGTCGTAGACTTGTAAATGCTGCTTGTGTACTATGTTGAAGAGATTAATGTGGCGGCGTGTTGAAGAGCATTTAACGTCTATACATTATTGAATCAAGGAAAAACAATGAGAAAACGATTTTTGTTTCAACGATAAAATGTATATTAAAATCAACACATACAAAACAATTTTGTATTGTGTGAATATTAAGGAAAAGAAAGTAGTTTCCCTTTATCTGTTAGCTTGAATAAGAAAAAATGTAATTAAGAATGTTTCCTGAATAGAATGTTTAAAGTTCTATGTTGAAATAGAATGTTACATTCAGAAAAGCATACAGTTAATTCAGTTGTGTGTTATTTGTATAACAGTGTTGGTTTATAACTTGGCTTGTTCACAGAAAACGAATGGTGAAATGTAATTCAAGTTCTGTGTGTGTGTGAGTAGAATCAATAATCTGTGCAAACGCGTGTGAGTTACTGGTTTCTACTGTCTATTTTTGGAACAAAACACTGTTTTATAACTATTGGTAGGCTCCAGGAAATAACGCGAGAAAGTTGAACGAAACACAGAAAATATATGATTGGATAAAAATTAACCAATCAGTGATTTTCTAACAAAAGTGTGTTTGCTAAATTCATGGCAGAAAAAAATCAGTGGTGACTGCGATTAGTAAATTGTCCTGTGGTAAACAGTATTTATTATTTAACCAATTGACAGTTGAGAAAACTGTAGGCGTGGTAAACGTAGTAGTAGTCACTACAGACTAAACGAAGTTAACTGTTTCAAATCAAAAGATCAAGTGTCAAAAATAAATACGAACGCTTAAATTTTCAAATTAATAAAAATAAAGAATAACTAATATAATTAACTCCCGCCAATAAATAAACATAGGCTTCTGGAGCCTACGCGAAGCCATATAAACCAGCCATCCATTCAATTCAGCAGAAAGACTGGCAGCAATAAAGAGACACGAGTTAACCTCATCATCCCGTCTTTCTCACCAAAGCATCAGCGGACTCCATTTGCTCTTCTTGTCTCTCAACACCACTTTCTCTCTTCCTCATTAAAAGACTATTTATGTTCATTTCTTTTCAGTCAGAAAGAAGGACTTTCTAAAAATACACACATTTATTTCGCGATAGTTGAAAAAATACGTTAAATAAATATCATCATTCTATTTGAACACGCAGTAACACTTTCTCTCATTTTTTTATTTTATTCAACAAACGGTGACTCTTGGAATCATTACCCAACAGTGTCTTTTCGAGACTTAGCACGCGCAAAACAAATTTATTTACAGATTTGAACGAAAAATAGAAAAAGACCTCAGAATTACGTCAAATCCGCGAAAATTTTTCCTCTTTTAGTCAGTTGTGCATAGTTTTTGTAACGTAAATGTAAGTAGAAAAAAGCAAATCTTGATAAGATAGCGAGGGTCACAAATTTTAATAATTAAAATAAAGGCTTCAAAATTTTCTCCGGTTTTGACGTCATTTTGGAGTTTTTTTATGGTCCAAATCAGAGAATTTGTTTTTTTGTTTATGCTAAGTTTCGAAAAGACATTATATAAGAATAAGATTCACCATTTTTATCCATAATGTTGAATGTGGAGTGTAAATTATTCAACTTTTTATAAAATAAAATTCAAGTTGCTATTAAAAATTGTCGATTTATTTAAGATGAAATGAAGACATAATTCTAATTTGTATTACTAATAATGTATTTATTTTCAATTTTTCTAGTTGAGTTGTTTCCCTATTGCATATGATCCATTAAGTTACAATAAAAAATTGCATTTCACATGAATACTACCATATGAAAATTAAGTTGAGATGTACTAGAGTGGGAAGTGGGGAGACCTTTGTGCCGACCCTGGAGTTGCTAAACTAAAATAAATACTAATTTGAGTCAAATATAAATGAACGAAATTGATCATGATTTCATAAAAGAATATCTTTGACTTTATTTCAATAAAACAAGAAAATGAAACTAAATGACTTAAAGGAAAAGGAAGTGAAGTTTACAGTACACATTACTTTCATTTTCAGTAGAAATAACTTATATAAGCGAAGAACCATTAAAAAAGAAACGTATTCTTTCGTTTGACATCAATTTCTCAATTTGCGGCAAAGAATTTCTTGCTCTTTTTTTAAACAAATTATCAAAACGTTTTTCCAGATTCCGTACGGTAAAAAAAAATAGATTTATTTATTTTAAAATGTCGGAAAATAATCAAACTTCAAGAAGTAACACCACAAACTTAGGTGTGGGCTTTAATTACAACCCTCTGTTGGGTGGAGTCGGCTTCTCACTTAACTACAATTCGACAACGGTAAGAATTTCGTTTTTTTTGGGGGGGGGGCACTCAAAAAGTTGTTTCTTAAAGACAAAAACATATTTCTCTTTATTATTTTTAAGTTTTAATAGAGACATTGTCCTTTCGTTACAGCTCTGACCTGGAATCAAGATTAATTTTTTATGTAAAATAAGCGAACTGAAACAAAACAAGTAAATACACTATTGTTTCATATCAAATAATAATCAATCACTATCCACTGTTCTGGTTACCATCTTCGTTTTTTCCTAAAATTGGGTTGACGCCCAATTTTTTTACAGTTACCGAATACGAGTTTTTCTTTTTATGATCAGTCTTTTTTACGCAAAAACATAGGATCGCCCTACACACAAGTTTTTATTTTACTGAATATTTTATTAAAAGAATTCTAAGGAAATAGTTTTTGGTGGTTTTCACACGCTATCATTTCAATATCGCGTGGGTAAGTTTTAATTTATTTTGGGGGGAATGTTCATCCAATTTTTTTTTACGGTTACCATACTCGTGTATTGTGCGAGTTTTTATGATCAGACTTTTACGCATAAAATAGGCGGTCTTACTATACATGGGTATTTTTTTTTTAATTGAAAATCAGACATGATGAACGAAAACAAAGGTACAGTAAATTTTCGCATCGGATATTTTAAGTGTTTTTTGTTGTTTTTTCATCATTTTGAAATTTTGAGGTAGCTTTGTACAAAAAACGTAAACCGTTTGTTTTTTTTTTTTGCTTTTGCTATATTTGACTACGGTAGGCCTAATAATTGCTTAGAAGCTGGGGTCACGACACGAGCTATATGAAAAAATTCAAGGGTTGCTTAAAGTTTAAAAAATAAGTTTACACGAGTATACGGTAAAAAACAAATCCCGGAATTCCTGAAGTGTAACCCGGATATAAGAGATTTTCTCTGGTCCCAAATTAGAGCCTGTGTTAGACCAAACCCGGATATAAGAGTAACCCGGATATAAGAGACTTAATCTCCGGTACCGACAACTCTCTTATATCCGGGTTACACTGTAATTATCTCAATAAAAAATTTATGCAGTATTCGAGTGTGAACATATAGAAAATTCAAACCGAAAATTTGCCAAAACAATTCAATATAAAACTTTTACTTAAAGAATATATATTTTTTTTTTTTTTTGAGAATTGGTGCTTGCATAATTTAAAACACGTTGATTATTTTCTTTCAGATTCGCCAGAAAAAAATCTCTAGTCTCTAACTATTTTTTTCAATTATAATATTTCAGTATAATTTTGAAATTCATCCCATTGCTGTTCGTCACAAGAGTTTATTATTAAATATAGACATGTTTACTTTAAAGATTTAAAAAAATGTAAAGAATGACATTTTCGAGTGTGAACCTCTTTTTTAAAAGAATTTTTATTTTTATTTTATTTTTTCCTTTTCGCAACTTGTAGATTACTTTTTTTGGTATGGATGTACAAAAAGTAAATAATTCTGATTTTTATATTAATTTTCTACAACATTCCAACATTTTCTTTTTTATTATATAAATAATTTTTATAGTTAGTAAACTATAAGCTAAATTTTTAGCTCAATGTAGTTTGCTATCTTGGACACAAAAAATTATTTTAAAATTCATTTCTTAATAAAAAGATTTGTTTTTTTCTGGAGAGATGCTATAAGAGAGAATGTTACTTATCCCGATTACATCAAAACAATAACAATATTTTAACAGAATAAGCTTGCATAAAAATTTCCTTTTCTGCACTTTTTTTTTTGTTTAGAAAAGGCAGAAACAGATCAAAATGCTCTTTAAAAGATTTACAATCTTCAAATAATGGGACAATGTTGAGAAGGCTATACAAAAACGTTATATCAGATTGAAAATACTCTTTAAAAATGGGGCAGCCTACTAATAGACAGATGGAAGAAGAAAAAAAAACGAGGAAAGGGGCTTTGGCAAATCCACCCATGTCATTGCGACTTTTAACAATTTCTGCCAAGATAAGATGGTGAACCCACAGAACAACCGTTGGCTTGCTGAGTCCCCAAAGGATGTACCGAGAGTGGTGAAAGCCAAATATCCAGTAAACTTAAACATCATGGTGTTTGGAGTGATCACTAGTGATGGCAATGTTATGCCTCCATTCATCTTACCACAGGAACTCACTCACCACAGAGGTCTATATCAAGATGAGGAGATCCTATGTCTAGCTGTCAGACAATTTCTGTGACTACATCACCTCTTACACCTAGCCACCTAACTCCCCAGACGTTAACTCCCTTGATTTGGTAAATATATCTTTTAAAATGAGACGCCAGTATTATTTTCGTTTTTGCGTAATTTAGATGACAACTACTACCAAGGTCTGACTTCTATCAGCTACAGAGTCGAAACAGACTTTCACCTGACTGATTCCAAGATCTGACTTAAAATGAACTTTCACTACTCCGAATTGAAAAGGACCTGTTCCAATCAAAGTCAAATATATATTATTTTGTTTATATACCTCTGATTCTGTTAATTTATTTCCAATGTTTCCGATAAATATTGCTAAGAACATCTGGCACTCTTCCACAATCTCTTGTCAAAAGTTTCTGTACCTTCTGGTCAAAAATCATAACTTTTTAAAATTATCTGCTGACTCTTCTTACATGAAATAGAAGCAGTCCCAGACAAATCTTAACATTAAATTTTCAAAGTTGGAAGCCACCCTTACTTTTTAAATTTAAAACATGAAATTTGACCAAATTATTTCTGGTCGTTCTTTTAGAGGCAATTCTAAATTTAGAAAATTTTACAGACAAATGTAATGCTTTAATTTTTTTTTTTTTATGAACCTTCCTGGCTTTCTTTTAAATACACTTCTCTAAAAGTACACAATAAACTTTAAACTGTTATTTATTTATTTATAATTATTTTACCCTTTTTTATGAATTATTATTTAATTATTTTGTATTACTCATAATTTTTTTATATGAACTGGTTATTTTTCTCCCAGTGAATATTTATTCATAGAAGTTATTCATTTAAAAATGCTTATTTTTCAGAATGAAACTTCAAATACACAACGAACACTCCCACAATCTGCAATTGCTAGTGAGTCAAAATCTTTTTTTAAACTTTATTATTGGTTAAAGAGTTCTTTCAGAATTTTCTATTTTGAAATGTTTTTTTAAGTCATAGGATAATCATTTTTCTGATCTCAGAAATCAAATGTAAAACAGTGTAACCCGGATATAAGAGAGTTGTCGGGACTGGAGAAGTCGTCTCTTATATCCGGGTTTCTCTCATATCCGGGTTTGGTCTATTTATATACATTAACACAGGCTCTAATTTGGGACCAGAGAACATCTCTCTTATATCCGGGTTTCTCTTATATCCGGGCCTCTTATATCCGGGTTACACTGATCAGAATTAAAAATGCCAAAAAATTTTCCAAAATACCTTTGTTAGGTCATGACCCAAAAAGTCATAATGAAAAAGGTATTAAGATGAAATTGTTCTGATTTTTCTAGATTTAAGTTCTTTCTATAAAATTTCAGATTTTAAAGATTTGTATTCATTGAATTGAAAAAGTCATAAAATGATTTTATCAATTTAAAAAAAATAAAACGTTTTTATGAAAAAGGAACTTGTCATTTAGGATTTGTTTTTAAATTCTGATAAATGCTGTCAGGTATAATTTTAATTTCTAAGTAATTTATTTGCTAATTATGTTCTAAAAAGCAATTTTTTTTCTTGTCACGAAACAGGGGAAACAGTTGCTGATTCAACAAACTTAAAACACTTGTAAGGAATTTGGTTGAAAAATTTCAAAATAAGTGAATTTTTTTTTTGTTTTTTTTTATTTAAATATACTTTATAGGATACAAATCCTATATTCCAACAAATGACTAAAAAAAACACAAAGTAGATTTGCACACATTTTCTACCAATGAAAATTGGATAACCCCAAAAAAAAAACAAAAAAAACAGATTTCACAATAAGGTGTGAAATTAATTTTCTGACCAATGAAAGGAGGCGATTTGCTAAACCAAAAAAAAAAAAAAGATAACAAGCCTGTATGAAAAAAAAGTCAACAATAAATACAGAGTTTTCAAGTCAATCACTAGTCAGTCAGTCAGAGAAGGGCAAAGATCACAGAAGATTGACAGTAAATTTCATCACTGACTCAAACCGACACAAAGAGGAAGGACAAAAACAACAACAAATTTACAACTGACTCCAAAACAATTCATAAGTACATTTTTCCTTTTATCTTTATTCCTCATTCACACTCTCTTTTTTTCAACTTAAATTGCTCGCCTTTTTTCATTTACAACTATACAAATATATATTACAGACTGCTACTCTGTTAAAAGCGAACACAAAAATTACATTTTTGCTTAAACAAACTAAAACATAAATCTTTTTACCCTATTCACAAGATAATAAATATACAATGTTCTATTTTCTATAAACGTTCCTTATCGTGTTGTTTCTTCTTTGAGATTTGCGTTGTATTTTGTGGGCAGGGATCCTGATTAAATTCTCCTTTAATCCGGCATCCATACGTGGCCTGGGATGAACCCCACGTGTTTTATTTACAGAACAAAATCGAAAAAAAAAAATCTGATTAACTGTAGCGTGGGTGTCAAATAAAGCAATTAGTCGAAAATCAAAAGTTGGTTTGCCTTGGGGATCTGTATCTCTGAAGGGTAATTTTTTAACAGGTTAAGGTCCAATACTAAAAATCTTGTCACCACTCTTTATCCTATCATGGTTGAATAGGTGAACGATAAAAAGAGTTTGATTCCTTTCTATTTTTATAATAGCTTTTGCCATAGTTAATGACCTTTTTTTGAGTAATCTATTTTAGGAGCTTATGGTTGGCATAACAAGAAATGCAACCAATTTATTTTCCGTTTAAAAAATCAACAACCTGTTTACAGTGTAACCCAGATATGAGAGAGTTGTCGGGACCGAGAAGAAGTCTTTTATATTCAGGTTTCTCTTTATATCCGGGTTTGGTCTATTTTATATACATTAACACAGGCTCTAATTTGGGACCAGAGAAAATTTCTCTTATACTGTTTCTTATATCCGGGTTACACTGTAATTTATTTTTATCATTTGGAAGTAAGTAGGTAGCCAGATGCAAATTCCTCAGGGGACTGATTTTCTGTTTCAAATTTTCCTTAATTCCGTTTTCATTTGTGTCTATCCTCTCACCTCTACAGTTTCTTAAAAAAATATTTGAAAATTGTATTACATAATCTTCTCTAGTCTGTGACATAGAAATTCCTCTTCCGTGACGACTGACTCTATGCAAAATAGAGCAATTCTATATCACTACAAATTGACTAGCCAACATTTTTATCAGAAAATCGACTTTCTATTTTTTTAAATGTAAAAACTTTTGTTCTCAATTTTCTTTCACATCTTATAAGGATGAATATTTTTATAATATGAATAAGTATGAATATTTGTAAAAACAAATTTTAAGAAAATAATTTATGCCTATGTTTATTCATTAAGTTTTGAAAGAATTTAAAAAAGAATAGGAATTTGAAAAAATATCAAATCATTAATTGAAAATGACATAAAAAACAGGATTCCGTTTCGAATTCACGGTTCCATGATTGCGGAAACTTAGTCCGCCTACTTATGTGCTAGTTTCTTTTCTCACATTTCTCACCTGTGAAACTCTTTTCCAGTTTCTTATTTTTTATGAGTGGACCAGTGTCCTTAAGTAGTGCCACATATTCTTTAGGGAGTATTCTGAAATTTGTTGTGGAAGATGGATGGGGTGAAAATTTTTTCTGAAATGTTAAAAAAAAAAAAAATTGCAGACCAAGAGGGATTGGGAAAAGACAAACCCACAGTGTTTAACATTAATGCCTGCAAAAAAGGAAGGACGGTTATTCCCTTGACACCACTATTACTGTATGAACTTTTGAATTCCTCAGAAATATTTATTGTTTTAAAAAACGATGATTAGAATTTTAATAAGAAACCTAAACATGTCAAAATGGATTTATACATTTTCTTTATTCTGGAGAATTGACAATAAATATATTAAACACTATTTATTTATTATTTATTTATTAGATTGAATAAAAAAAAAAACTTGTTTTCATAATTAAGTATGAATTGGTAAATAATAAATATTGTATTGTAGTTGGTTTACATATTTTGTAATTTTTGAATAAAAAGGTTTCTTTTCAAATTTATTTCTTTATAAAATGATAAGTAAATCTTTATGAAAGGTAAATAATAAATATCACATTGTACTAGGTTCATGTATTTTTACAATATGGTAAATAAACATTGCCAAGGGAGTCAAAAATATATACAGTAATAGTGGTCCTTTTGACTCAAGATATTTTGCAGGCACAAAGTTTAAACATTGCTAAGAAACTTTACTAAGAGCTGGAAAAGATAAGAAATTGTGGAAAGCCATAATCGCCCATACAATGCCACAGTAAGTGATGAGAGCCATTTCTTAGCAAGCGAGTTGTTGTTGAGAGCATAATGAAGAATTCTTATTTTGTAACTAATTATTGGAGGATTTTGACATTTATTTTTGTCTTTTATTTTCTAAGGACAAAGCTCATATAATAATTGAAAACTGCCTTAGAGAAAAGACGTAAGCAATTAGAGAAATTCGATTTAATTGATAGAAATGAGTAGAAAAAATGCCAGTTATTACTTTAATAACTGAAATACTATTTGATTAGTTCAAGAAATATTTTTTTTATTTTGAAATGTTATTTCAACAATGACATTATTAAGCAACTGTTAGGCAAAGCAAGTCAAGATAAGGTCAGGAATTCCCAGCATGAATCCAGTTAGTAGGATATATTTCTTTTTTTTTTTCTTTGAACAATTATTTTACTATCAATCAATTTAATTCATTCATTTAATTTTATTATTTTTTTAAAATATTTCAAATAAATTTTCTTTTATCTTCATCATTTTATTTAACAGCATATCACTTGCATGGAAGTGCCTACTTTGATACATTTTATGATTTTTTTAATTTCAGCAAACTCATTAAAAGCTTTTAATTAACACTTTATTGTCACAATTGTGTGGAGTTACCTATCTTGATACAGTTTATGATTTAAAATCTGCCAAATGAACAAATATAATAGCAAACTACAGGCTTATTCATATGGCAACAGTATAAAGCAGCTTTTAGGTAAAGTAAGTGAAGATAAGGCCAGAAATCCCCACTTTGTGTGCAATGCCATGACACATTGCTTTCCATGTTGCCTCCCCACTTATAAAACATCCTTTGCACCCATATGAATGGTCATCTCACTAACATTAAGAGTGAAAGTCATCATATGTGAAATCAGTAGGATATATTCTCTTTGTATTTTTACTTTGAATAATTATTTTACTATTTTGATCCAAAATTAATTACTTTTTAAAAAAATGTTTCAAGTAGATTTACTTCTTTAAAAACTTTCATTCTTATTTCATAATTATCGATTTTAATGATATATCACCTGTTTATTTTGTGATACTATTTTGGTTGCTGGTAAATAATAATGAGGGATTTTGAATATCAAGAATGATATACTGCTAAAAAAATTTGCTCCCAGAGAATCGAAAATTCTAAAACAAATCAAATGGCCAGCTAAGAACAATACTTAATTTGTATGACAGGCATGGTGTTGACAGTTGGTTGATAACGCCTGCCATGAGTGTGTCCATGAAATCAAAATGAGGTGAATCTGATAAAATTTAAAATAACAATTAGTGGTAAAAAAGGTTACTTAAAGAATGTTTCGACAGGCATGGTGTTGACAGTTGGTTGATAACGCCTGCTATGAGCGTGTCCATGGAATCAAAGTGAGGTGAATCTGATAAAATTTAAAATAACAATTAGTGGTAAAAATGGTTACTTAAAGAATGTTTCTGATGTGAGTGAAGGTCATGAGGGCTATGTGGCCAGTGTCTGATTTCAGATGAGAAGGAAATATGAGACTTCTTGACTTAATTTTTTTTTTTTTTTTTTAAATAAAAAACAGTGATAACTTGACATTCTGCTGAATGATTGTCACCACAATGTAAGCTGCAAGATTTTCCCTGGGAAAATGTGTCTGGGTCGAGTGGGAGAAGGCCAACTGTTTATTCAACTTTCAGACCAGAAAAAAGTCAACACTGGTATCAATTCACTTATGAGGTGATAACATTTGGAACAATAATTTTTCTTTTTTAAATTAGTCTTTGTTGGGTAGCTGAGGTGACAACTGCAGAAGAGAGATTGAGGAAGGAGAAAACCCACTGAAGGGTAGCAGGCACGGAGTAGGCATCAAGGAAGGAGGAAGAACTGCCACACCCACAGAGAGGTATTAGTGGGAGATGCTAAGAAGTGAAGGAAGAAGTTTGGGGGCAGATTAAAGACTATGACAGTTACCAAGAAAAGGGGGAGATTCCAAATTAGGAAGTAATTAATTCCCAGAACCCAGGCAATGGAGAAGGGGTTCTTTGTGGCAGGTAGAAAAAATGCTAGACACTTAGCCACGTTATGCCCCCACCCAGTTTGGACAAGCATCATAATGTGAATGCCTCAAGCAAGTTTGAGAGATTGTCCCAAGAGATCAACCCCCAAGAGTCCATTCCAGCCACTGAGCATGAGACAATCTGCTAACATGAACCCCCGACATCAGCTTTGAGCCAAACTTACCAAGTCAACTAAATGAACTTCACTAAGTTCGCAAAACAAACCTTACCAGCCAACCAAGTGTCACATCCAATTTAGAAACCGGTTGGGTCGACAAACACCTGCATGCTAACACCTAGACCGTAACAACTATTAACCAACCATTGTATGCTGTACTTGATTGATTGAGATATATATATATATATATATATATATATATATATATATATATAGTGATTTTTCCAAGCGTAGCTTAGATGTGGCACAAGGCCAAAAGTAGGGGGCACCCAGTGAGGATCACACCTACTACTCAGTTGTAATTGTTCTAGTGAGACAAGCTTTATAACCATTACACCACCTCAAGGTGCTATATATATATATATATATATATATATATATATATATATATATATATATATTATTTGAGTTTTATTTTTCTGTTTTATTGTGCATCTTCGCCTTGCATAGACCAGCCCAGTATGAAGATACCCATGACAAGTCAATCTTGGCCTCCTTATGATCAAACTGAATCACAATCAGGATCAAAGAGATCACTCCATCAATTGGCCGTGGTATTAGATGTCTTGGGTGACTAGGGAGGGTATACATCTACAATTGTTCCCATGAACCATAAGATTCACTCTGAAGGCGTTACAATTTTTTCAGGTTGTATTAAATGGATGAGGTACAATAATAAAATATTTATTCTTCTCAACAGAAATAGAATTATCAAAAAAAAAAAGGAAGAAGGAACCCAAATGTCTCTCATGTAGTTTTCAATATTACATGTATATGCTTTTTTTACTCTTTGAACTTTACTTTCCAGTTTTCATTCTTGAATTTTGTGATGTATATCCAAAACATCCATATCCAATGTGTTTTTTTATGACTAAATAATAAATAAAAGGTTCTGATATATGTTATTCAATTTATAACAAATGATATCAATTTCGGATGCCTTTTATTTATCTCCAGGTGAGAGAAATTATGCTATAGAAGCTCCACCAAGACGTAAGTACAATTTTATAATTATATATTCAGTATGTAGAATAGTACATTGGAAGTATAATATAGAGGTATGTTCTTTGACAGCACATCAGAAGCCCCCCTCCCCAATATTGGTCTAAGATGTTTACGTGTAAGGCTCTAGCAGCAAGTAAATTACAGAAATATAAGCAAGCTACTACAGAGCAGTAGAAAGGCAGCTCTTGACTGAAAAACACTTTACACCCATCACTCTGACAGTTTACACAGTACAGGATGATTATGATTAAATGAAGAAAAAAAATGATTTTAATATACAGTCTGCGATGGGTAAATTGTCGCCATTTTATATTTTTAATTTCACACATGCGTGTTGTTTGTTTTCAATTTTGTCAACTGCACTGTATAGTAGGGTCAGTTGAGCACTGTCTGTGAGTAAAAGAACACTATGATGAAATTCGCTCTGCCAGAAATTTGGAAATGGCATGCTGTTCTGCTTTGTATTCATGCCAGAAGTCTCCAATACCAGCATTTCAGAGTGTTTAAGTGTCCATCTGAAGACAGTGCAGAGGATTCGGAAAGAGTTGGTGGTGGCATCAGCTTCTATACATCTTCCCACAGGGTCTCAAACTCAATATGGAGGCCTACATCAAGTGCCTTGAGGAGATAGTGCTGTCGTAGGTCAAGAGGTTGGAAGATC